TGGTATGGTCCTTCAGTTGAAGTCATGGGCGTCTTAGAAGAGCTCGACGGTGTCGTTTCTGTAGATAATAGAATATCGAGGATAGAAAAAGGGTCTTCTTCGATTGCAGCTCGATATTCTAGCACAGTGCTCGGAGCAGACACATCTATCTCTGGTAATGACGCCGAGAGCAACTCGATAGGAGGCATCGCAAAAGGAGGAGAATCCTCTTGCTCCGCAGAAACAGGGGAAGGGGAGCCTTGGACTTTGATTATTGGGATATTGACTAGAAAGAAAAGAAATCGAAAAGGTGAATCGAGAATTCATAACGAAGAATAAAATGAAAAAACAACACAGTAAAATTTTGAATACCAGGGGGAGGTAGAGCAAGTGGTACCAAGGCAGGAGGAAGAATCTGTACAACCTCAGGTTGCTGTAAATCGAAAACCATTATCAGAACAAGAAATGCACAAAAGTTGAAGCAATCAGACAATAGTATATAAAATACCTCAAGGAGGGGTGTTAACAATTGAGATTCGACATTCGTCGATACAGTCTCCGATGGAAGATCCTGAAAATCAAATTTGGAAACCATGTTATAAATTTTATCGAGACTTAAGAACATAAAATTTGCATAAAAAAGGAAACTTACGTGACTTGAGCGAGTGGCAGGCGTTGTTGTCGTGGGGATCGTATTAGAGTCCGTCGATAATGGATCGAGAGCAACTAGTTGAACAGATCGAGGACTCTTCGATTTGTGTTTCTGAAAACAGAAGATCGAAAAGAGATAAGTATAAGAATATGGATTGATCAGACAGAAAAATGAATAGGCCAAAACAGAAGTCAAAAGGAACCTTCGATTTTTTCGAAGAAGTAGGAATGGTGGCCGAGCGTCTGCGTTTTCTGACTAAGGTTGACGGGTCCGATTCATCTGAGGATTCCCAGTCCTCTTGTCTCTTCTCTTGACCCTTCTCGACAGCGGTGACCTTGGTAGATTTCGAAACTGCCAATAAAAGAAGACAGATTAACTTATAATATACAGAATCAAAAAAGTATAAGAAAGCAGTAAAATCTCACCAAAAGGTGATGGAGTCAAAATCTTGACTCGGTCGATATGTACAAGCCAGGGAGGCAAAAGAGCCTCAGGGAGGTTAAGGTAAGGGAAATAAGATAATTTCGAGACAGAAATATCTTTGTTTTTGGGTTTTGGGCGAAGTGTTTCCCTGAGGGATCTCAATTCTCGAACCCATTTAGGATGAGTTAATGGTTTGGCAAGTCCAAAAGGAGCTGTGGGAAAAATAGGAAGGCGATTTGGACAATACATCTCAAAAGGGGTTCTACCTAGAGGATTGATTATTTTGTGGTTCGATCGATTAGCGTCTGTCTTATTGGATAAGGAGATAACAACATCATAATAGGTCGATTCTAATTTCAGTGGGGTGTAACACATTTGATAAAAGTTCTCGAATCGAGATATTTGAAGACAGTGGAAGTGTGTACCTTTCTTCGATTTCGACTTATCCTGCAACACAAGAGAAGGTTGAGCAGTCAGTTTCTGTCGAACTTCATCAAAAGTAGCATGACTACTCGAGAACCAACCAGTCCACCATTGAGAAAAACCCACAGTAGACAAATAATTTGACTCGAAAGCATAGGGATAAAAATGCATAGGGGTTTTTGGCAAAAGCTTGATAAGCTCCCGTTCGATTATCGATTCATTCAACTTGAACCTCGGGGAGGTATCTAAAGGGAAGAAAGGTAAGGACTGGCTCAGGCCGAATTGTCTTGAGAATAGCTGAGGGTAGTAAGTGATGATCTTGAAGTCTTTGGATTGAAAACCCGATACCAGCATATCATGAGTTAAATAGTTACTCCAGATATCTACCAACTCTAATTGCAAGCCAGGAGTTGAGGCAGGGAACTTCGACTTAAACCAAATTGGTCCCCTGAGTTGACCATTTATTCGTCCGAGATGCACGGTAAAAGGAGCTAAAACCGAATCGAAATTAAATCTAGATAACAAAAAATTAATGTATTGACAATAAGCAGCTTCATCGGGTTTTTGGTGAGGATGACGAGAAGATAATCGGGCCCCTTCTATATTTACACTTGGGGGGATGCTGGAAATCGGGGGGAGGATGCTCTCAAAAATCGAGTTTAACCACAACCGAATAAACCGAGATGGGACCAGTAAAAGTTTCCCGATGCCTTAGGAGTACTTAAAATTTCGACGACCTCGTCGAAAGCGAGTATACACATGCGCTAACAGGAGTTTAGCCAAACATATCTTAGGCTGGCCCGTATGGAGAAGATAGGCTAGATTATAGAGGTGGGAGGAAATTTGGATGGATCGAGGACAAAAAACGTGGGTACATAGCCAATATACCAAAAACGCTATGTGTTCTTCGTCAACCACAACCTTCAATTCGTCATCGACGAAATGCTTCTCAAGAAAATATCCGTAAGCTTTCGATTCCCAATCGACCTTAGATCTCAAAGAATTGTCCGAAGGGTAAGCACCCTTATAATACTTCTCTCCAGAGAGGTTTCGAGTCTAGGTTATAGCAGACAATCTCAAAGAGAGTATGTGACGAGGGACCACAGGGTAATTCCAAGGCATGCAAATCCTTGTTCCACAAATGCACGGCAGATAGAAACATAGTCATATCCAAAGATGACAAATCGCATCGAGATAGTCGTAAAAAATCAAAAATCCCTATATCTCTCCAGTGGTTCCCAAACTTAGCCTGTACTCTATCAAACCACCTAAGGAATGAAGGTTTTTTGGAAGGTGGACCCGTTCGGTATACCCTCGAGGCCATATTCAAGAAATCCGTCCGAACCTCAGGGTGATGAATAAGTGCTGGGCTGTTCGAGAGGGTGAAGGAAGAAAAAGTTCCACTACTAGAACGGACAAGACCCCCAAAACCAAAATTAACATTATCAGCAATGTAAGGAATGAGTACCTGCGTCTCAGCAATTTTCTGAGAAGCCTCCTCCATCAGAGGGATTGGAACAAACTTCTGATTATTGATCTCCAGAAGGGGAGCCGTCAGCGAGGGAAGAGGCGGAGCAGAAAAGTCAGAAGACTTGGAGGAAGTGGCCATTTCAGTAATGGGTAGGATGAAGAAAAGCAACGGGAAAGATGAAGGCACAGAGATGAAAGCAAGAACTCAAGGAAGACGATGGAGGTACAAACAGAGGGTAAAAGTTCGCGTAAAAACCCGAATAAAGACCAAGGGAAAAGTTAAAGGGAAAAGCGCCTAGGGAGTTGGAAACGATGGAGGTGAAAGGTAATTAATGTTGCTTGTACTGTAAGGTAGCAGACTGATATGATAGCGACGTAAAGCAAAAAGTAACCTAAAACCCTTTAAACCCTAAAAACCCAGAAACCCTAAACCCTAAAGTTCTGTGAACCTCCAAATACTAAGGCGGGAAATATTGAAAGAATATAAACAAACTATTCATATTCTTCCAAGGGGGCATTTTGTTAGTGACAAATCGAGAAAAGCGATCGAAAATGAAGGAAAGAAATGTGACTCGATAAGATAAACAAAAATTCATTTGATGTCTGATTAGAAGTACGTAGCATCGAGAAGCACAATCGAGAATCGAGTGAATGATAACCAAATGTCTGTTATCGAATAAAAACTAAGTTATATGAGACCTAGGTAAAAAAGGAATCACAAGTAAAATCGAAATTCTCGAAAATACAAAATCGAGAGTGAAGAAAGTCAATGTGGACATTGGGATTCTGGCAAAACCGTGAAGAGAAGAACAAGTCAAACGCACGTATAGATAACAGTTTCGAAACCCTGGAGGAAGTCGAAGATCGTGAGAACGTGGGAGACCGTGGAAGGTAAACTGTCATATGCACGTAGAACGTGGTAGCAACCTTGTTAACTGCTCCTGGAAAGCTTGAACGATGTCCTATAAATAGAGCAAAGAAGGACTGAACAGGGGGCGAAATTGGCGGAGGACGGAATCAGTAGTGAAAAGTCTACCGGAGAAACGACGAACACCATGAAGCTTCGGCAATCTGGATTTCCTTGCTCATCGAGTACATTTACCGCTTCTGTATTTTCCTTGGTAATTTACTTTGATGCAATTTAAATTCAGCAGTTTTATGTTTCTGTACTTTCGATTCCTTGTCATTTCAATTCAATGAAAATTTAAGTTTCTGCGTTTAAGTTTCCAGTTATTTATATTTTCTGCACGTTTCGATTTCCCGTCATTTAGTTTTTCATGCAAACTTAACTTCCTGCCATTTACATTTCCGTCATTTCCGATTCCTTGTCATTTACAATTATTGCAAACTTGGGGTTCTCGTAATTTACATTTCCTCGCAATTTAACATTCTGTTTTTTCGATTCGATAGTTTTATCGCTTTCAAGTACTTTAAATACAAAATACCAAAAATAGCTTTTTCGATATATTGTGATTTTCGATTCTCATGCATGTTTTCGATTGAAAATCAAATTGCTAGCCTAAGTAAAAAGAACTTACGTGGTAGAATTTTGATTAGGACCAAAACACCTTTAGAATCGAAATCGATCGAAATTCCACCAGAAACACCTTGATATAAATATTTTTCGGTAATTTGTTTCGCAAAATAACCCTAGATCTAAATACATCAATGGATTTTTTTTAACTAATTTTTGATATGTATAATGTAGATAGATGCTATATTGTTCCGGAAAATAAATTTTTTCATTAATTTTTAAAATATATAGTTGATTTTTTTATTTAGCATTATTACTCAATAATATTAAAAACTATTTTTATGACATATAATAGTAAAAAATTTCCTTTATTAAAAATATGTTATAAATTATTTAAAGCTTGTTCACATATTACGAACTTCTTATTAAAAACCACATATTATACAACTATTGAAAAAACAAAATGATGCTATATATATATATATATATATATATATATATATATATATATATATATATATATATATATATTATTTGATTTTGAAAATCTCCAATCACTACTTATGCAATCTCGTGGGCTTACTTGATTTGAATTGTAGTCTCTGTACTGTGTTGTGCTATTCTTAAAATTCTAGACTTTTGCTTTTTGCACTCCATGATTGCTTTTTCACCTCCTATTACATGAAAAATTAAAAGATTAGTTTTCATCATTTTAGGCGCAAAAAACAATTATGGAGATATATAAAATAATTGTCAAAATTCTAATTTATTTTTTGGGCCTTTGTGGGCCATTTTGGTGTGATATGAAAAAAAAAACAATTGTATATATCTCACACTCTTGTTTCGATAACTAATTAAGAATCATTTATTCAAGTCTTTCTCAAGATGGATTTAAAAAAAATATAAAACAATTAAAAAAATATGTTGTTTGGTTAAAATCATAAAAAAAGAGTGAAGTTTAATCTAATTATTTAATCTAAAACAATTAAAGCTTAGATTTTGAAGTTTAATGATATTTATTTGTACATGTAGAAAAAAAGAGTCTTTTATTACATCATGATGAAATAACTTAATAAACGGACATATAAATCGACAAATATTTCCATAATTTACTTCTACATAAAATCAAATTAACCATCCAATAATAATAATAATAATAATAAATTTTTCAAGATTCGTCTAATGTTATTTTATGAAATAATTGAAACAACGTAAAGTTAGATACAGCGCGCATGCGTGTTACGAAAAACAATTTAATGTGTTCATCATAAATTGATAAAAATAAAAAACATTAAATGTCACGTATATATTTTAATGATACAAGTCAACGAGAAGCATAAGAAAATATATCAAATTTCAAATCCTGGTAACATAATTGTTTCCGACAAAATAGCAATGATAATTATTTCCTACATGATCCATTATCTTCAAATACTTAATTATGTTTTAAAATCATACTTTTATAATTAATAAAAACTATTTGTGAAAAAACTAATAACGTTAGATTAAAAAAAACATGAATAAACTTATTAACAAAAATATATTTTATTATAAATAATTTATTTAAAATAAAAAAACATAAAAAATAGATAATTTTTTTTAATATAAATAATTTTAACTACTTTTAAAATAATTTATGTGATACATAAATTTGTTATTTGTTATTTTAAAATTATTACTAATTTTTTTAGAGATGTTTTAACAATATTTTAAAAAAATATTAAATTACAAGTATTTCTCGTAAGTTATTTAATTATTTTCATTTTCATTTTCACAGTTTTATTCATACATTGAAATTCTTAAATCTTAAACTACTAAAATAAAACATATCAACAAAGAGAGTTAATTATAGATACATTATTACAACTGCATTTCAGAAATGCCCTTACATTATACAACTACAATTTTTCTTTCTCTTTCCCTTGGGACCAAAATTTTGCAGACAACGTGTAATGCAAGTTGTGAGAAAGTTGAGGCAAATGACAAAAACGAAGGTGTATAACCCGTTTGAGAGTAAAAAGGTAGTTGTAATCGAAACCAATTAGGAACATGAATTGTCAAAGTTTGAAGCACAGTTGTGGATTACCTTGTCTTTTACTGGAGTTAGTTTTTGGTGGAACACAACACTCATCCGTCACAATCATAATAAAAGCATGCGTAGCGGGTGCAAACTGCAATCTCCACGGTGTCACACATTCGTACACACGTTTATGTCTGTCTTGCACGTTTTTGTTAAACCAAACACACACACCTGTTTAAAGTAAAAATAAAATAAAAATTGTACCTAACCCACTCTAAAACACCTAAATTATATAACGGTTGAAGTGTTAAAAAGAAAATGGTAATACTTAAATACTCGGATATTTATTTTGAGGACCTCAAACCACAAATCCTTGGACGCTCGTTTCAAATGTAGGCAATAACAAATGATTTTGTTATGTAATTTAAATTTATTCTATATTTATATTTACATCTAGCGGTGTGTTTGACTAGTAACAGGTGGTTTTGTCTTGAAGATTGAAAATAGAAAAATTGGAGAATAGAAGGATAGGAGCGTGCCAAACAGTAGGAAGGTGAGTGCGACACGGTGGAGTGTGACGGTGTCCACAAGAAGGAGGAGAGAAAAGTGTGGAAGATTCATCATCATTCAACTCAACTTACCCAGCCCGTTGCAGAGGTAATAGCCGTCAATGAAGACCACGTGTCCACTAACCTCGCTCACCACGAAACTGAATCTAACACAAAAAAACACACACATGCCACTCAAAAAACCTTCTCGCATAAACAAAAAAAAACAAACCAAGTGGTCCTCACCTCACTCTTCTCTCTCAAATCTCAAACCATCTCGGAACCCATCACAAACATGTTCTCCACGCAACACCTTCTCCACCAGGATCACCAACTTCCCACTATTGCCCCTCCTCTATGTTCATTTCTAAATAATATTTACTTTTTTCTTTTAATATGCCAGAATGATAATTAGGAAAATTAGAAAAACTTTAATATAAGAACAAAATTGAAAAACTCGTGAAACCACTGGGTGAAATTTTTGAATTTGTGTGTTTACAACTTACGACTTTGTTGCACACCTTGTTGTTTGTATTATACGTTTCTAATGTGTATTGTACAAGTAAAGTGATGCGTCGGTGGTCAACAATGCTACGTAAATAATTTTTAGTCACATATTTTGTAAATAAAATAACAATACTAAATTATTGACTTTTTAGAATTAAGATTTTTAATTTCTTCTTCTTCTTCTTATTATTATAAATTTATTAAAGTAATTCAGATATTAAAATATTCGCTTAAGTTAAAAAGAAAATTAAATTAGTGAAATAATAAAAGAATTATAATTTTTCTTACTAGATTGGAGAAGGTCTTTTTGAGAATATGTGTAAATCGTGTTCCATGTTTCAAAATATTTTTTACAGATGAATCTTTCTAGAGCAAGGATTCAATATTTTTAAAATTGAAATTCGGAACGCAATTCATTAATCTTCTAAATCCCACCTCACATCCTCCGATCCGATAAAAACAATTATATTAATTTGTTACATTGGAAAATTTGGTGGATTTTTTAAAAATTACATTCGAATAAAAAAAATACATGGAATATTGATGACTAGCCCTATATTCTTGTGATCCTATATTGCAAAAAATATATTAATAATGTGTTTTTTTTTTCTCTTTACAATAGATATTAATTGCGTGTTAGAATTTGAATTGTAATGCAAGTGTTTATTAAATGAAAAATTGAAACTTGTAATGTCCCTTTAATAGTTATGACGTCCAACTATTTCCCCACGTGATAAACAGGGCAACCACTGATCTATTATTTTTAATTTCAGATAGATTTTGTAAAAATGTTCATGAAATTTGAGAATTTTGTTCTTTTATATAAAGAGTTAGTACATTGTACAATCTATAAATCAATATATTTTTGTTTAAAAAAAAAAAAAGTTATCCAAATTTGTGACCCAAAAACTTTATCGCATTGAAAGGTGTGCTTAGTGGGATACAATGACAATGATCGTAAAAAAATAAGGACTAAGAGTTTAAATTTCGAAATTAAATATCAAAATAAATTTTGTAAAACATTTATAGATAAATAAAGAACAAAAAAAAAAAAACTGTGTAGAAGCAACAGAGAAATAGTTGAGAAAATGATAATGGTGGAAATATTTTTTTGAGACACTTATATCTTAAGGTCATATGTGTGAATGATGACGATGATGATAATAGAAAGTGTAAATGACTATGGGTGATATTTTGAGGGATTCACACAAGTTATCTCCATTTTTATATATTTGATGTAGTGAGGAACGTAGAAAATTGTTAGATGTTATTAATTATGGATTAGAAGATATAGAGTAAAGAGGATAAGTATGAAGATATAATAATGTGAAATTGGGTGGTAGAAGATAAGAATGTGGGAATTGATTATTGCGTAAAGCATTGTACTGAGTGAAAGTTGTCCCCACTTGCCCCTCCACATTGATGAGACTACCAACCTTCTTCACTATTTTTATTCCCCATGCCATCTATCATGTCTATATATGTTTTCTTTTTCACTCTTTAATGACCTATAAAACCTACAATCAACCCATCTACTATATATATATATAGCCCTAATTTATATATACTCATATTTAATTCAGTTGAGTTCGAAAGTAGTTTCACACGAAGATTTGCAGTTGAAATAGAAATGAAGTTAACTTTCGATTAATTATTTTAATCATAACGTCCTTTTTATAGTTCAGTATAATATCAGTTATCAATTTATTAATTATATTTGTACTAAAAAAATGATATTGCAAAGTAAAAAATATTCTAATAAATAAGAATGATAAGTAATCCTTCACTCCTCTTTTGTGTTCTCAATTTTTTTAATTAATCAGTTTATTTTATTAATCTTTTATCTTCTTTTGTATTTAATTAGTATCTTTAATTAATTTGGTTATTTTAACATTTTTTTATCAATATAAGATACAAAAAGTTTTTTTAATATTCCACGTTAATTTTTATAATTTTAATAATAATTACTATTATTTTATTTATTTATTTATTAAATTTTATTTTATAAATTTTATTATTTTGATCTCATATATCAAATTTTGTTTTATTATATATTTTTATAAATCATATATTTCATATCTATTAATATTTTAAAATGATAATTTAAAAAATAATTAATTTATATATAATTAAATATTTAAATATAATGTTATAATAATAATTTATATTCGTATAAAAATAATTAAATATTTTTTATATAATTTTAATGTAAATATAATAAATTAAAGTATATGTTTAATTAATAATAATGAAAAAATTATTTATGTATAAAAAATATAAATAAAAATATTAAAGCTAATTTATTGTAAGAATATATTATTTTTTTAAATATTATAAAAAATAATTTTTAACCCGACAGAATTAAGAACATTCATAAAACTGGTTAAAAAAATGGAAAACAAAGTCGGTGAAACAAAACCAACCACTAATAAGAGATATAATATCAATTATAAATATTTTTTTTATATATTTTTCATAAAATAATACAGTACTTTGAATAGAGGAATGCTTCATCCTAACAACAATAAGTCAAAGACATATTTTAGGTTGGCTAAGAGGTTTCACGGTTTGAGGAGTTTGGTTTAGAAAAAGATATAAATAGACATTATATTTTCTAGAAAAAGGATTTAGCAATAAACATTTAAGAAATTAAAGTGACTGTGAATTTAAGTGGAAAACAATTTTAATGCCTGAACACTTTAAAGATTAATGTGGCGAAACATAATGTTGGTATTTAACATGAATATTGCGTATTAAATTAATAATTGAGTTAAATAATTGAAAAAATTATGTAAAATAAATAGAAAATTGAGTCCAGATTTTATTGCGATAAATATAGAGTTTTGACGGTATTTATGGCGTGGATTTCTCTGAACACAATAGCCGTCTAGATTCAATGGGGGCCGCATTGATGCCAAATCGGGCATAACAAAAACAAATATCTTCGCAACAAATCTCTCACTAATTTACGTTAAAATGAGCCAAAACCAAATAAATCCCTGACAACATTAAAAAAACAAAACTTATCTAAAACACCCCCTGCCATTCCATAATCTTCTGAGGATACAGCCGTCATTTCACCCCCTTCCTTCCCTGGCGTCTGAGCCATTCCCCTCACATAAACAAACTCAGAAGACAGCTTCTGCAAAAATCTTCACAAACCAACCATCTTCTCTCTCTCTCTCTCTCTCTCTCTCGGTCCTTCCTTTTCTCTCTCCTGCTTCCATTTCCAAACGTATTTGACTCTTTCACCTTCAGTCCAGGGTTATCACCTGTAAATTCTTATCTATTTAGGGCTCTTTTCTCCACCCCGCCATAAAAAAATTCTGTATATAAACAACACCTATCTCTATACAAAGAAAAAAGTTTTTAAATTCCTGAACTATTCAATCGAACAATTTCCATTTCCAATTCGTTTTTTTTTTTCTCTCTGTACAGACATAGGGAAAACTTTTCCTGTTTGAGTCCTTTGGGTCTCTCTTTTTCTCAATTTGGTACCCCAAAAGAATCTTAATTATCCGGTTATTCTTTTCTTCCCATAGGGTATTAAAAAAAGTGTGACTTCACCAATTGTTCCGTGTTTGGGATTGAAAATCTGAAAACCCTAATTGTGATTTCGTGACCTCTTTACATGGCGGTTTCCACGATAGCCTTGTACGCAAGTCCACCGAGCAGCGTGTGTTCTACGCCGCACCCTTGCCAGATCAACGCTCACGCTTCCTACGAGTTCGAATTGGGGTCACGATCTTCGTCTCCGGCGGCGTCGTCGGCTCCGGCGTCGACGTCGCAGAAGCCGGTGATGGGTGGCCTCTCGTGCCTCTTCTCGTCTCCGGCACCGGCGGTGAAACACACGCCGTTATCGTCGAGTTTTACTGGGGAGGAGGACGATTTGAAGGAGTTGGGCAGTTCCTTCTCGTATTCTCCGAGCAAGTTTGGAGGGTCTTCGTGGAAGAGGGATCAGAGTCCTGTGTCGGTTTTTCATGGTCCTGTTTCGTGTAGTAGTAGCAGCAGAAGTTCCATTAGTTCTACTTCTGCGAGAAGTATCAGGGGTGGGACTAGTGGGTTGTTTCATGGGTTTGTGAGGAATGCGTTGGGGTCTTGTTTGGATTATGACTTAGATGCCGGTGATTCTTCTGCAGCGCTTGTGGATGAGTTGACCTTTAATTTAGAGGATAATTTCGTGGAGGGTGGGTTTCATTTTGAACCCTATGCTAAAAAGTTACTGCTGGGGGCGCAGTTGAGACACAAGATCTTCTGTGAGGAGTTTGTCATCAAGGCCTTTTGTGAAGCTGAGAAGGCACACAGAGGGCAGGTACGCGGAATCATGGACTGGAACTATTTTTATGTGTGTTTTGCAGTTTGAAGGTGTGACATGTGGTTTGGGACTTATGGTGAATTGATTTGTTTGTTTGTTTGTGTTTTTGTAGATGCGGGCTAGTGGGGATCCTTACTTGCAGCATTGTTTGGAGACTGCTGTGTTGCTGGCTTTGATTGGTGCCAATTCAACTGTTGTGGCGGCGGGGCTCTTGCATGACACGCTGGATGATGCTTTTCTGACGTATGATTATATATTTGGAACATTTGGCGCTGGAGTTGCTGATTTGGTTGAAGGGGTGAGGAGCTTGTCTCTTGTTAATTGATTAATACGTGAGGTTTAGGATTTTGGAACTTGATGCTTGTGATCTGTAGGATCATTTGAATCAACCTCTAATCTTGAAGTTTTAATGAACTTTATACTTCAGATCTAGTGTTAGATGCTATGGCCTAGTGTAATTTGGCTGGTTGGATTTTTTTAACATTGATCTTGGAGTTAATATAGTTGTGTGTGTTTAGATATACAGGCCATGAAAGGTCTAATGTGATTCAGTTATTGGGGCAGTTTTGTTGTTCAGTAGGTTGGTGTCTTGTAAGTGTCAGTATAATAACTTAATAGCACTCATTGTTGTATTTGGGTGGCTAAAATTTGTATTTTTTTTAGGAATCTATTCCTATAATACCCATTGATGTCTTGTCTTCATATATAGGCATTACAATTTTTTTTAATGGTTTTGCCTTTTAAGATTCTAACTAATTGTATGGCATTTTAGGTATCTAAACTGAGCCACTTAAGCAAGCTGGCTCGAGAAAATAATACAGCTTGCAAGTCAGTTGAAGCAGATCGCTTGCATACTATGTTCCTTGCCATGGCAGATGCAAGAGCTGTCCTCATTAAATTGGCAGATCGATTACATAATATGATGACATTAGATGCGTTGCCAGTGACCAAGCGACAGAGGTTTGCGAAGGAGACTCTGGAGATTTTTGCACCACTGGCCAATCGCTTAGGAATTTCTAGTTGGAAAGAACAATTAGAAAATTTGTGTTTTAAGCATCTCAACCCAAGCCAGCACGAGGAGCTTTCATCAAAGCTTGTGGAGTCGTACGATGATGCAATGATTACTTCTGCAATAGAGAGATTAGAGCAAGCTCTTAAAGATGAAGGCATATCTTATAATGTCATTTCTGGGCGGCATAAGAGCTTGTATAGCATTTATTGCAAGATGTTGAAGTATGCTTTACCTTCCCTTACTTTTTATATAGTTGCTGAATTCCTTAACTTCTTGTTTTCTTCCATTGGGGTTTTGGGAATTTTTTTCTTTAAATGCAAATATAGTACTTGAAATTTCCTTTGTAGGTAGGGGAGGTAATATTGTTTGATGAGTATTAATTACACTAAAATTGGTGTCATATCAGAACAGACAGGCAGTTGTTGCTGCTGCATAAACACATGTAAACATCAGCGTATCTGTTTTGAGTTGTTTTAGACTAGCGTATGAGACAAATTCGTGGCTATTTTTATGGTGATATTGGTGTGAAACTACTACTGGAACATGTTGAGATCTACTAACAGTTCAACCTGGCCTGCTAAATGTACTGTTTGTACACCTCAGTTTCTCACGATTCTTTTATTTGTCTATGTAGGAAGAAACTTACCATTGATGATATCCATGACATTTATGGGCTGCGCTTGATTGTTGACAAGGAAGAAGACTGTTATAAAGCCTTAACAACTGTTCATCGGTTGTGGTCTGAGGTACCTGGAAAGCTCAAAGATTATATAGGTCGCCCCAAGTTCAATGGGTATGTTGGGGCTCTAGTGGGGATGCATATTTTCAATTTGCAATCTATATATAGTCTGATTTTTATTTATAATTCACAGATATCAATCTCTGCATACGGTGGTGATGATGGGTGAAAGCAAGGTTCCCCTTGAAGTTCAAATTCGAACAAAAGATATGCATTTGCAAGCAGAGTTTGGATTTGCTGCTCACTGGAGATACAAGGAAGATGATTGCCAGCATTCTTCATTTGTGCTTCAGATGGTGGAGTGGGCTCGATGGGTGGTCACCTGGCAGTGCGAAGCAATGAGTAGAGATTGTTCATCTGTTGGATATGCTGATTCAGTCAAGCTCCCATGCAAGTTCCCTTCCCATGCTGCTGATTGCCCATATTCTTATAGGCCTGATTGTGGTCAGAATGGGCCCGTGTTTGTTATTATGATCGAGAATGACAAGGTTTGTGCTAGTAATTATGTAATTGAAATTTATGTTTTCAAGTCTTCAATTCATTCGACGAGTCTTAAAACTCGCTCAAAAAATTAATTCAAATACTGATTAACAGTCATTAGTTGACTCAGACAATGCTATTTGATAAGTCTTAAGCCTTGTTTTCGATAAACTTCCCCCATATGCATTTATAAGACAAGAAAGTATGAAGGTAAAAGGAATTGAATTTCTTTCACAAGTTAGACTCAACTAATGCGTCTCAGTTATTGGTGAAGTTAGATGAGAAGCTAATTCATGTTGTCTTAATATTTTCTTCTCTTGTAAGTGTTCATGAAATTTTTTTATATAAGTTCGTTCATAGCTCTATTTTCATGAACTCACTGGATAGTGATGTTTCCCAAATGCTTTTTTGTGGTTGACATGACTGATCCTCAAACGGTAACCTGTATATATACGTGCTTTGGAATTGATGCTTTTAGTGATTGTGGTGTGCAATGGTCTAATAATAGAGTTTAAAAATGTGGAAAATAGAGCATGCATTGTCATTTTGTGCAGCTAAAGTTGGATAGTGCATTAGCATCAACGTCTGTATTAATTGTGCCTGTGTTTGAATGGATGTGCAGATGTCTGTTCAAGAATTCAGTGCAAACTCAACCATATTGGATTTGTTGGAAAGAGCTGGGCGCGCAAGCTCCAGGTTGACAACATATAGGTTCCCATTGAAGGAAGAGTTGAGGCCAAGGCTGAATCACAAGCCTGTGAGTGATCCCAATAGCAAGTTGAAGATGGGAGATGTTATTGAACTTACACCAGCCATACCTGACAAGTATCTTACAGAATACAGGGAAGAAATCCAGCGTATGTATGATCGAGGGCTAACCGTATCAAGCATGGGAACTTCTACAAACACCATGGTTGGCTCAAGAAGTTGACCCGGCCTTGGATTTCCTTTCTATTCCAACATAAAAATTTAGTGACAGCTATGTATATAGAAATATTTGTACAGGACAACTCTCTGTTACTGCTATGAACTTGCTAACTTGATTCAATTATGTGCTGAAATGATTGATTTTATGGAGTTGGTCCTCAAATTTATTACATCTCACCCACTCCGATTCTAGAATTCTATATTTATTGAGTTTTGAACTCAACTACAATGTGGGATGATCCCAGAGGGACCAATTATCAACACTAGGAGTTACTTCCATTTGGGTTTCTATGGTTGGTGAGCTTTACTTCCAAGGAACTTGTTGGCAATAGATATTGACAATTTTCAACCTAGTGAGTTGAACTGTATTTGTGTAACCAATTCTGTCATGCCTTGAAAATTTTCCCTATTGACATGTGTGAAACCATCATGAATGAACCAACATAAACAAGTTTGTATATTTTTATCACTAATATAACAGTAATCCGAGTTCATATATTTTTGTCACTGGTAATAAAATAGTATAAGTTCCTTAATTAAAGGTATGAGTAAATTTGTCCTCAGATAAACTATACTTGCAATACGAGGAATTTAAATCCTGGAGTTGTTGAGAATCCTGTAAAGATTCCTAATAAATACAAAAATAAAAAACATGTGCTGGGACTAGAGGACAGGCATTATCAATTTTAACAGTTTATAATTTACTTCAGAAATCAGAGCAGAATAAAATACCAAACTTTATTCTACAACAAAACTTTAATAGAAGAATAACAAAAAAAAATATATGCACCTATACATCTAAGTCTTATCCGAAGATTAATCTTTTTGGCATTTAACTTAATAGCTAGGCCAGCTTTAGTTTTGGACAATGATAGGACTGTGCACGGTTTAATTTTATTTTCTATCACGTTAAAAATACGTAAAATTATATTTCAAATTCAGGTTTTTATCATTTTCAGAAATGTCATGCATTAAAATTAGTGTTAGTTTCTATTTTAAGTAAAAATAAATAAATATAAAGAGCATCCGTTTCATTTTGTGTTATTTCCATGGTTAAAATAATGTTTTATATAATATTAAGAAAAGTTTAAATATATTTTTCATCTCTGAAAACATGACACTTAAAGAATTGTTTTGTCTTTATTTCTTATTTTACTTTTAATGACTAAGACATAAAATAATGACTTTTACTCCTCAAACGCTGGTGAGGAATTATAAACATATTATTTCAGGTTAAATGTAAGAAATAAAAGTAAACAAAAGGAAAGACAGAGACTTACAAATTCCGAAAGAAAAAAAAAATACCATGTTGTAAAAAAACCAAAGACTTATTTAAACCACAAAAGAAATACAACATCAATGTTTTATGTTCAACTATTACATACGTATAAGACAAATCATGATGAAATTTGTTTCAGTTATGATAATTAGAAGATAAATAGCTGAAATTTCAAAACTAAACCATGATGAAGTACTAATTGATATTACATGATCCAGGAATACAAGCAATATCAGAATATTCTGCTTGTGGCATGAAACAAAGTTCAACATGGTAAATACCCATATGAGGAGTTGTTGGAAGAAGCTTTAATTGACTTAGTCTACGTTGAAAAGTAACTATAGCATGATCCGCAAATTGCAGACTTGTGAGTATTTTTTGCCATCAATCAACGAGGAAGAGTTTCCAAAGCTCTAGAAACTGAATAACCTAATCTAACTCCAGGTTCATAGTCTTCCACGCCTTCAGATTTCAAAGGTCACATCACAAACTTTTCTTCCGTGGGATTTTCTTTGCTCCAACACCACATCGCATCTTTTTCTATCTACTGTGAGTTTGATTCGATGCAGAGTTCACTACTTGACTTTCATTCATTGGTTAAACTACAGCTTACGTAGGTCTACAAATTTGACTATATGTATTTAAATAAATTAGTCAATTTGAATAATTCGCACAAGTTCAACGTAAATTCATTGTTTGGGCTTGATGTGTTGAATCTGATTAAATTGTAGAAATCACCTTCATGGACCCAACGCTATGAGCTGGCCCAGATTATTTAAATTCTAGGAAAAGGGCCTTGGTTGGGCCTGCAGATTCAATGCTGTGGATCAATAATTTAAATGATTGGTACTGCAATAGTGCAAATTGCTGAAGTTCTTCATCTAAATTTTAATAAATCTTATGTATATTTCATTTTTAGTTTTTATCTTACATTTGGCTTTTAACCTGATAATGTCCTTATGACAGTAGCATTCACACTGTAAGTACTAAACTAAACAGAAATCAAGAATATGAAGTAACCTTGAAAATTAAGTTTGTCAGGTAACTTTTTTTTTTTTGCTATCAGTTTAAGCTTATAAGATATAAAAAACCCGAAATCAGAGGCTCAAAATTTGAATGCATAACTATAGTTTCTCATATATGTTAAACATACAGTACATGTATAAATGCAACAAGCACAAAAATGGACAGAGTATCATCATTTAATACTTCTATCTCCAAAAGAATTCTTGAACTGAGGCCTGCCAGTGAAGAACAAGCATGAGCATAACCAAAATCCCCCCCAACCCCCAAGAAGAGCTTCCAATTCTGAGTACCCATGAAGGCTCAGGAGATGGTAGAAAGGAAGCTCTTGCTGTTGTTGATGATGATGATGAAGAGGTTGTTCTGATGGCAATTATGAGTCCAGCAAGAAGCATAGGCAGAATAAAACCACCAGAGCTCCATTTTGACTCATAGTACCTCCTGTCACTCCTTGAATTCGCATATAAGGGAGACAACACCACTGCTGAGACCAAAGCCAACACCATGGCCCATGATCTTTGTGATGAAGAAGAAGAAGAAGCGTAGGTGGTGGTGGCCATACTTTTAGAGGTGAAGCAAGTAAGAGTGACTTGGTTTTTGCTTATGATGAAAATATGAAGTTAAGAGAGAATTTATAGTGGGGGGAAAAGGTGACAGGCTAAGGAATGTATGTGAGAGTGGATGATGGAGAAACAGCCGGCCAAAAAGTGAGAAGGATTAAAGAATGGACAGAAAAGATAAAGTAATGAAAAGGTGAAAAGGATGGTAGAGGAAGGAGATTCAGGGATATGGAAGTAAGGTATTTTTCCTAGCTTTTTTTTTTTGTGTTCACATTGTTGAGGAAGGAAAACTATAGCTGTAAGCAATGATTATTAGTTGGAGACAGGAGTAGCTGTAATCAAAGTGACATGCATAATATCATCAACACCATGTTACCCTTTGACAGTGTTGTCAGAAAGAGAAACATTGGTTTTGTATTTTTCATTACATCAAGGTTTTTCAAATCCTTACAATTATTAATCAAAAAGGAAGAAAGGAAGGAAGAAAGTTGAACATAATTTCCACCAGACCTCTTTTTGGGTTTCCTTTTCTTGATCAACTAGCATTTTCGGTACCAGAGGATAAAAAGCTCATACAATGAACGACTCTTCAAATTCTACCAGAAAAGTTCCGTTTTTTAATGGAAATAGTTTGAGGATATAATTTATTTCTCCTCACTAAATTTACTGGACAAAGCTTTTTGAAAATATAGAATCTTTCAAAACACCCAATTATAAATTACAACAAATTGTTGTCATCTGAATGTGGAAAGTTAAAAAAAAATAAATTGATTAAAAGTAAACATTTTGTAAATTGGGTGCAACCCAAAAGAAGCTACTTTTCATTTTCCATTGCTATACTAAAATAATCATTTTTGGGCATTATAATTTCTTTATTTCATAACAATCAATATTTTAAAATTGAACTTAAAATTAATATTTTCACATGGTAGTTGCTGAACGGTGGATGTTCTAGAAGAGACTAAACGACGCCGTGGAATTGGGGATATTGCGGAGAGGAAAAGCGTGTGCTGGTGTAAGGAATGAATGAAGAAAATCAATGTCCCATCAGGAGCAAGCCTTGGTGTCCCTTCTCTCCCAGCTTGCCCTTTCCTTCGACGGCGCCGTTTTGGGCTTCGCCTTGGCCTACGCCGCTCTCCGCACTCTCTTCAAATTCTCCGCCACTTCTACCGCCCTCCGCAAGCTCCGCCGCGCCCCTTATCTGTCCGTTTCCGACCTCCGATCCCTCCTCGCCGATACTCCCTCCGAGGCCGACTCTAATTCCGACGGTGGCACAATCGTAATTGTCCGCGGCACCGTCGATGCCAAGTCCGCCGTCGATGGCTCCTGGAAAACCCTCAGACCTGGCGTCTTGGTTTCTCGCGAGTCCGGTGATAAAGGCGTCATTCTCCAAAGAACTCAAACGGTAACCTCTTTTTTTTTTCTTTTCTCGAATTTTTTGAGATTACTGTGCGATTGAGCGAAGGGATTGTGCTTGTTTGTTCAAAATTTGCTATCTTTAAGGGTTTTATTCCAAATTTTGGGGGTGTATGTTACGTGGTTATTAATGTTTTTAGAATATCGGTCAACTTGTAATTTGAATTTAGGTCTTTATGGTTTAATTTAGGAAGTGAAAAGTTGAAATTCTGGAGTGCAATCACTTCATACTTGATTCAGAACAAAAATACGTGAAGGTGGAAACTGAAACGGAACTTAGTTTGCTTGTTTTGTTTGTACCTTAAACGCTGGTTGTTTGAATGCCAATCCAACATTTTGTTTCTTAAACTATCAGTTGCACACTATTAGAGCATGTTTGGAAAGGGCAAATTCCACTTTTCATTGCAGGTTGAATGCAATCCTCCTCTCATATTGGATTGACATTCGGCACGATGTAAGGGTTTATCAAACACATTATCATTTGTTTCCTTCTTTTAAAAAAACTTAAGTCCTTCTCTCATGGATTGTTGGTGTTTACCGTGAGTCAATGACTTTTCAAACACGTCATTAGCTCCACCTGCTCAACACAAGCCCTCAGCGTGTGTGTTTTGTTTTTCCTCTGTAAACATGTTACTTTTAAGATTGTGTGTTGAGAAATTCACGTCAAGAGAAAACGAAACATACTATTAAATTATAAACCGCTCACCCCCTGCCTTGTTGATTGATTTGTCTTTTTAGCGGGCATCATGTAAATGTAATGAACCTTCACTTATTTGAGTTATTTTATTTTGTAGAGGCACTAATCTCCAGGGATTTTCGTTCACCATAATTCAAGAAAAAATAAAAATTTAGAGGATAAATTCATGGTTGAAATTGTGATACAATATATGCGAATGCATACTGAACTACAAAGTTGTTAAAATCTAACCGCTATAATTATCTTTATTTAGTTATAATTATAACTGCTCTGCATCTTCTGAAGTACAACTTCAGAGTGGAGTTCCCCTTTCATTTTATGGATAGGTGTAAATTTTGATGTTTTGACCATAAGGTGTTATTGGATATTGAATATTGACATGCCTGTTTTTGTTCTTGAGTAATTGAAAGAATGTGTAGGTGACTAGCATCGCAGAAATATAAGTAATTAATTTTTTTTAAATGATATTTGGCTACCCATTTTGGCATTTAGTTCTTTATTCTAAAAAGGACTAATATCTTTTTCATTTTTGTAGAAAATATAAATTTGATTTCAGCTTAAATGTCTTGCAACTTAGTAAGTCAGTCGTGAATTAGAAGTCTAATTTATTTATTAATTTATTTTGTGTTGTTTATCATGAAGTGTATATACAATGAATGGAAAGGCTTATTTGGATGGACTTCTGATCTTCGAGCCATATTTGCAAGATCTTGGAGACAGCAAGAGTCTACATCTTTAAGGAAGGTAATTGATGAATAACTTTGTTACATATGGAGGTTCATAATGTATAAAGAGAAATTCTAGTATAATCTTGTCAATTGATTTGTATTTCATGAGGTCAAATTTGGTACTTCAAGTTAGTATATATAACTGAGTAGGACTGAGAACAAAGAAGACTCTGTTCTAGGTTATGCAGTACATATATGCTAGTAGATTACTTAATATCCATAATTAATTTAATGGTTAAATTTTATTGCTTAGATTATAAATAATATATAATGCGATCTGTTGCTGCACAAGATTGTAGCTTTTAACAAAGGTTAGTAAAAACAGTCCAGCATTTCACACAAGATCTACTTTCAGTTGCAATAACTAGAACACGAGCTAATTAAAAATAAAATAAAAACTGATGGATAGTTGAAGTAGAACAACGAAACACAAGAAAAAAATAAACAGAAGAAAAGATAGATTGATTGGAAGGAAGTAATATCACAGAGGAATCTGCAAAGGAGCACGCTTGGTCAGAACATGTTTGGGCTACTAGGATATGACTGGAAAATGGAGGCGGTGAGGTTTGAACAGGAATAGCCAACACTTGATGGTATAATAGTAGGGCATTGATCTGCAATTGGGATTATTCTGCTGTGATTTTGGCCAGTATTCATGTGACACAGACACACAGTGCTATGAATATCTTGTTTTGGCTATGGCTAGTGGCCATGAGTCTCTGACAGCACCTTTGTTGGCACAAGCTGCTGCTAGTAGGCATTTTGTATGAAAGGATTATGATGTGTCTTTTGATTTCTCTTTTCTTCACCTTTTATCTTAATTTGTTTTAATAGGTAGGACTTATAATGGGTGAGTTTGTTTGTGCTTATTTTTTAAAATAAGTGTTATTTTTAATAAAATAAACAGATTTGTGTTCTCTTAATGTGTTGGGCTAATCTGTTTATTTTAAAAATACGCAGTTTTCTGCGTTTTTATTAATCAAATTCTATCTGCTTCTGAAATAAGTGATTATTTTAGAACTTGCGTATCTCAACAACACTTATTGTAAGTTTAAACAAACCGGCCGATTATATCTTCAAATTATAGGAAAATGCAGAGGAGAGGAAAAAGTGATCAAGCTTAGAATGAAAAATATAGATATTAATTTATTGAATGTCTTGGAATGGTGTTTTACAGAATAAAAAGCAGTAAGTTTTATTTACACTGGTACTAGACTCCTAATATTAGCAGAATAAGGAAACAAATCATGAAATAAATATATTGAAGTATGAAAATCACTCCTTAAAATGTAACAACAAAAATAACCAAAGTCCTATCCCACTTTGAAAGGATCATGTAAGATACTGTAAAATAATTTTAGATACAATAGTGGTGATAATATGAAATATTTTCTAGATATTCTAACTATATTTGTTGTAGGTGCCTTTTGTTCTAATTGATGTTGGACGGCGTCCATCTACTGAGTATGTTGTGATCAACATGGATGGCTCAAGACATCCTTTACCTCTGACGACAGTTTATCATAAATTGCAACCTATAAATGCTTCTCCATATACTTTCTTGCAAGCACTTTTTGGGCATGAGTATCCGGTGAGTTGATATTCTCATCTCTTATTTGCAGTGGGTAGCATCATGTTGAGTTGGTTTAAAGCTCAACACTCGCACTAACTCACCCTTCAATCAATCTGTTTCGGTGTTTTGCATCTTTTGCTGTCTCTTATGAAACTTTTGATCTTTGGTATGTCACATTTGCTGAAATTATATCATATGTTTCATTTCTGTAGGTCGGACTGCTAGATGAAGAGAAAATACTTCCATTGGGGAAGGATATCACTGCTGTTGGCCTTTGCAGTTTAAATAATGGAATTGCTGAAATTAAGTCATGCAAAGATCTACCATATTTTCTGTAAGTTTATTTTAGTTGCAATAAACTATTGTTGATTCATGGAAATAACCCTACCATTTGGTATTGTTAGTTATAATTTTAGTATAGTAGAGGGGACTGTTTCATTTGAAAGTAGCATAACAATATTCCTTTCTTTGTACCTTCAGTATCCAGTAGGATACATTCTAGGGGAAATATCATTTTACTACTGGTAGAAAGATTATGGTTATTTTAATTTTATAATTAATTAATTAATTTACATTGGTGACCATGAATGTGCGAAGATGTGGTTTTGATCAAACTTGCTTGAATTTTCATGCCAACAAGTAGATGTGCAGGTGTATTTGTGAAGTATAAATTATTTTTTGATAATGGATCACTTGATGAACCTAAGATTTTGTTTTGGTGGTGAATTAATAAGAGTGATGCTGAATTTTCAATTTTTTCCCTTCAAGTTGAATATTTGGGAACATATATCTCCGTAAATATTAATAAGTGATTCAGCCTGTGGAACTGCTGCTCATGGTAATTGTCATCTCTTTTGTAGATCTGACTTGAGTAAAGATCAGATGATACTGGATCTTTCCATCAAAACGAAAATATTGTTTTGGGGTGGAATTGCTCTTGGTTCAATGTCAGTTGGGATCCTTGGCTATGCAGTTGTGAGGTATGTTGGTTTGTCTTTTCTGTTCATTTATTATGTGTTATTTCTGTGATGTTCTGGATTCTGTTAATTATAGCTGGCTTTCAATTTTCGGAAACAAGTGAATTTACTGGTTTGATAAACTTTGTCTTCATTATTATGAGTAATAGACTAGTTGTTTAATATAGTTGGCATACTTTAATACCCTTCATTTTGATAATAATTAGAATAGTGGAAATTATTTGAAAATATATTATTGGTAATTTTGGGTGGTAGAGACTTAGAGTTGAATTGAAGGCAAATAAACTCTGCTGGTTTTCAGGAACTGGAATAAGTGGAAACAGTGGAAGCTACAGAGGCAGCTCCAGCAACAAAGGCAAGCAGTGAGTGATGTTGAACCTCAGGTGGATGATGAGATTGAAGATGTTCCAGATGGACAACTATGTGTTATATGTCTGATGAGGAGAAGGCGCTCTGTTTTCATCCCCTGTGGGCATCTTGTGTGTTGCCAAGGGTGTGCCATTTCAGTTGAACGTGAAGTGGCACCAAAATGTCCTGTTTGTCGCCAGGAGATTCGAAATTCAGTGCGGATTTTTGAATCATGAGGATTTTTTAATCATGAACAGACACAGGCTGAATGTTCTGTTCTATCTACGACAGGAAATTTCAACATCTGCTAATGAGAAGAATGTCTGCTTTTTATTTGGGATAAGATCTGGAATATGAAGTTTTTGGAAAAAACTTGCCTTGCTCTGTAGGATTTTCTAATTATCCCAGTTGCAGTGTACATAAATATATAATTTTGTCCAACACCGATAGAATGAACTCTGATATGTTGTGCATTTGATGTTGCTTCTATGCAAAAGGTAATCTCACGAGTAAACTTCTAAATCTGACGTTAAAAAGTTAAAACTCATGCTTGTAGGTAAAGACCAGGTACTCATTAGTAAATATTAGGGTTTATTGATTTGAGAAAAATATTTTCTTTTCTAATTTTTTAATTTTAAATGTTAGTATAAAAAACAGAGTAAATAACAAAAGTTATTTCTCATAAGTTTTTGAAAATTTAAAAATAAAAATAAAATGTTTTTAAATTTAAAGCAGGTCCAGAAATAGCAGTTGATTGATGTCTGCCCTCTATGTGGATTAACAGAATATAATTAGATCAACAGAGCTATTAATTGTTTACTGGTTTATGCTCTAAATTTGACTACCAAACATGTTAAATTTTCATTTTAATTAATTACGAAAAACAACTTCATTAAAATAAACTTTTGAGAACTAGTAAAAATTAAAATAAGTTCGTTAAAAAAAAATATCAAGCTTAACTGAACATCTGAAGTTCTTCCAATATCCCTACTGCAATGTTGGTTGGCTTGCGATCTGGATCTAACTTCAGATTTGTAGCTGAAGACCAACAGATGCTAAACTCTTAAACAGAAGTATCTTCTTAACTGCAGTTAGCAGTTATTACAAAGCACACAACTGACGAAATAATTTGCATCCCTCTTCATGTTACAAGAATTTATATAATCAAGAATATGATATGGTGAAGAAAATTGGCAGTGGAAGAATTAAGAACTATGAATACTAATGCTACCTCCCTCCTACCATGCTTGTTTACTGTTAACCTGCAATTGAAATTCTTTCGCTTACTAGAACCTGTTTGATATAAACTTGTACTGAATTCTAAGTCACGGTTCATCATGATGTGAATGTTGAGCTATGATCATTCCCGTCCAGCTTCCAGAAGGAACAGAAAGAAACAGGTTGCCCTTTCCACCATAGTCCAACACTTCTATTTTCATCTTCAACTTTCATCTCCCAATTACTATCATACTTTCTCAGCAAAGCTCTACCTCCATCTATTGCATCCTCTCCAAACACTTCTCCCACAAACCCTGCTTCTTTCATTCTCTCACACCATTTTTCCTTCCCTTCATTCATCTCTCGCTGGTTTGTCAATGCTTTTGCCGCCTCACCTTCCATCACTCTCCTTTCATCACTCTCACGACCCTTGAACGCTGAGCTTGTTGAGTCCAAAAACCTCCACAAGTACTCCACCCTTCTAGAGAACCCGGTGGCAAAATCCCCACAACAATTGCAACAACAATCCATGTTGTTGTCACTTAGTATCACCGCTTTGGGCTCCATGTTCCTCAGCACTTTCAGAAACCCACTCCTTTCATCAGTGGTATTGTGACTTAACTGATGCAGCCTAAACTGTGCACACACAACAAAGATTTCATCCGGGGAGGTGTTAACGCTTTGAGCACTCAGCGTATGTAATGGACAATTATCTAGCCTTTCAATCTGCAAATTAATGTGCATTGACTTAGCAAAAATAAGGAGTCTAGATGTGAAGTTATCACCAGGAGGACCAATAGAAAATGGGGTGTCATTTTCAGTGGAAGAAGCAGTGACCACAGTGAGGCGAACAAGTGGAGGAGGTCCACCAGGTCTGCGACTCAAGGCCTCTAGAAAAGTTGGCCATTGCATGCCATGAGAGGCTCCAATGTCAAGGATGTGAAGGGTGCGTGAATTCTCATTGTCTTCCCCAAGAACTTGAAGGATGGAAGCATTTGCTATGTTGCTAGGAAAAGAAAACCAAGGGCTAACCTCATAGAACTTGAGTAGTGTCTTTTGGAAGAACCGTGGCTCGGTAGATGCAAAAGTTATGGATTCTGAAGAGGTAGATGCTGGAGAAGATGATAAGTGGTGTGTGAGTGCTTTAAGACCATGTGCTGCAAGCCTGTGGTTAGCATCACCAGTAGGTGATGCTAACTCATGGAGAACATACAAGAGGTGTTGCACACGGTTTCGGTTTCCACCAATTATGGCTGCAGCACAAGGATTGAGCAACTGTTCAGCCCACCTACCTTCCTTGTTGTTGCAATTATTTCCTACACCTTTAGCAGCACCTTTCTTGTTCCCACCAGGTTTTCTAACTGTTGTCCCTCGTGCATCTCCTTTATCTGTTTCATTAATCATTGGTTTGCTCTTGATTTTCTTGTGCTTGTGGTTTTGTGGTGGTCTGAGACTTGACTCATCAGTGGCACTTCTTTTCTTGGGCAAATCAGAGAGTGGAAGGTTGTCAGAACCACAAGTCTCAGGGGGTGCTATGCTAGTAGCAATGTTGGTGGCACTAGGGGAACTGGTATGAGCATCAGTTTGATACTGGCTGTTTATGTCTTGACCCCACAGCTGATACTCTTGAATGTCACTAGAGTTATATGGATCATCAAAGAATGGTGGAAGTGGAAAGAAAGAAACAGAACCTTCAAACCAGTCCAGACTATGATCTGGTGTTGGATTTGGTTCCATGATCATTGTAATGGAAGGGGCTGTTGTGAGATTTTGAGCAAAGATTTAGAAGCGTTTGGAGGGCTTAGTAGTGTTTGGAGCATTGACCAAATAGGAGGAGGAGGGTATAGGACATATCAACCATAAAGTTTCACTACTTTTTCCAAAGAATTTTAAAATAAGGCGTGGTGTAGTGATGCTTCCTACTAGTAGTGACAAATGAGGGAATATTCTAATTGTTTGTGTGCTGTTCGTTTGGAGGATGTGATGTTTTATTGAGGTTTAATATTGGTTGCATAGGCAACTAGGAGACGATAATGTCTCTTCTTTATGTTGGGTGGTTAACTTGTTCTTCTGTATTATATGGGCCATTGAAATCCGCTAACTTTTTAAGATTTAATAGAGGAATTTCATTATGAGTTTGAGGATTGTGATTGGTTCATTCAAAACTCTGGCCGGCACACACTGTTTGACTAGAAATTATTTGAAAAGTTTGTATCTGGCAAGGCCTCAGCAACTTTTTGTGCTATATTTTGTTCTTATTTGTTTTCCTTTTTTTAGTTATTTTCTCCAAGAATAGGGAAACGGTTATGTATTCTATGAAATTAATTAAAGTTTCTACTTTTCCTCATGGTTTAAATATTTTTAATAGTTCATTGACTCAGTGACTGTCTCCTATTGATAAGATGCAGAGGGAAATGTTCCATTTTCTCCAATTCTGGTTCTGGTTGATCAAATGGAACATGATTAGTATTAATGTTACTATTACTATATCATATATATGTATTGTTGAAATTTATTATACCATATATATTAGCCTGATTCTTGAAGGAATAGTTAAATTTACATGTTTTATATTTATAAATATAATACTACTAGAATTCAGCATATTGCATTTGGATAAGAACCATAATATACAAAATTTGATATACTTCTAGCTAGTCTAAGTTTTTATATATATATATATATATATATATATATATTATTATATAATTTTCAATTAAAATCTGTTCAATAGATTTAATGATTATATGTAATGTTTAACATTGGAAGTATAAATTTCTTTATATTAATCTTGTATATAAAATTTATATTCATCCCACATGTATTACCAAAAAAAAAAAAAATATCATACATGTATCTGCCATCTCTGATACTATTTCAGACAAAGACTCCTTCTTATTAAGATAATATGAAATTTTTTGGGACATACCGATACTACCATGGCTTAAAATCCCACTCAAATTTATATTTTTCATAAGAAGAGAACTCTGAGATAAAATAATATCGGAGCCTAACAATTTTTCAGAAGGGGTATGATAGTAGAAATTATATACAGAAAGCGAGTAAAAGAACCTATTAGAAATGGATAACCAAACACTAAAAGAGTCTGGTCCCGTTTTGTTAAATTATACTTTCTCTTCCAAAAAATATTTCTAAAACTCGTTCATCAAAAATAGAAAATCTTATTGAATATTCCTATGTCCCTGAAGAAGCTCAAATCTCTGAAATTATTCACTCCTACGTCCCTATAATATCTTTAAAAGACAAAGATCTACCTTTAGGTCTATCTCTAGACTCATCTTCAATAGAAGACCCCCATGTCAAAGAATATGTTTAATCCTCCAGAATGGATCAATATGCTTTAGCTTCTACCACAAAAGAGTAATACTTCAATATTGAGATCCCCAAAGATCTCATTAGGTATTGACAGAATGAAGAATACACTCATCTCCATTATGAGACTATAAGACTAGTCCTCTCTTTCCATGGAAGACATGAATTACCTGTCTTAGCCAAAGTCTTTCTTCTAGACTCTATCTGCACTATGAACATATTGTAATTGGTATTGTATTATCTACTCTCCATGTCGAAAGTGTAATCCTGACCATCTTTCCCAACTTCAATGTTAGTTTGAAAGATCTCACCATCTCTCAAATTGAAGGTTCAAATTCAAATCACAAGAGTTGAACAATTAGCTGATGCACTATCAGTTATCCTTCATCACTAGATAATCTACAGACTGTAAGATCATGCCATAAATCTTGCATTACCCTCATGCAAAGATGAAACATTATTCGTCTTGACCAATAATCAATATGAAACACCTTTCATAGTTCAGATCCCCATAAACATTTCACAATAAGAACTACAACAACTTATCCTTAAGCAGTGGGTCACCAACTATGAAGAGCCCCATACCAATCAGAAATCGATCCAGTTTACTGAAGCCACTTTCAGAAGATCTATAGATGGTACTGTCAAAACCATCTTCAAGAATCATGAAGATATTCCCACTTCA